AGGACCTACTGTATAGCACAGGGAACTATATTCAGTTTCTTTTAATGAGCCATAGTGGAAAAGAAACTGAAAAATATATCTGTGTATATATGTGTGTATGTATAACCAAGTCACTTCGCTGTACACCTGAAACTAACATTGTTAAATCGAGTACACTTCAATAAAAAATAAGAAAAAACAAAAACTAACCAACTGCCAGGATGAAAAGAAATAGATGAAAACTTACTTGGTCTTAACTGATAAATAATTTAGATAGTTTTCATTAACCTCATGAAAGCATCAAGGATAAATCTTGGAACAAAGAAAAACTCTCAAAGTATACAGCTACCTTCCTGACTTTCGAAGTGTAACTATATGAGGCCATTGTGTAGGGGAGCCCCACTGAGCCAAACGGCCTTGATGCCATCACAGCACAAATCAACCACTGCAGTTTGCAATGATGACATATGCTTATGCAAACAAGAATACTGTATCTTCAGTTACTTATTCAAGGAATATGCCTATAATTCACCCATTGCTAAGGAATAAAAAGGTGAATACAATGAATCACTAATCTTAAGAATTTAAGAGTCTAAGAAGCACTGAGACTAGTAAATAAATACTTTCAAGTGTAGTGTTTCCAAAGTTAGAGCCACAGATCCTGAATGAAATAAGCAAAAGATTCAGTCAACATAAACAGGGTACTTGGAGTGAAACCGCTTATAGTCTAAGGAAGAATACAGACAAGAATACAGGCAATTAGAAAAGTGTTTGGTGAAGGAAATATAGGAGAGCTGAGGAGCACACAGGATGTCTACCAAAATCAAAATGGAAATATAAACTGAGGTGTGAAGAATGACTAAGATGATGAGTAGGTTAAGGTAACTAAAGAATAATACAGAGAGAATATTACTTGTAAGAAAATCAGGAGACAGTAGGAAAAAAGCAAGTAAAATCATACCAAATGCAAATAAAACGCACAACACTTTCAAGAAACCAAGTTCTACGTGGGTAGAATGGAGAATGTGAGAAAGGACAGGCTAAAGATGAAGTTGCACAGGTAAGCAATACAGGACAATGGAAGCTACTTGTGAAGAACTGGAAGCTGACGACACTGGGTACAAGGGAATCACATGGGAGCCAGCTGCAGATTCCCAGCTAAGAGAAGATGATGGTCTGGATCAGTTTAATAGCAGTACGAACAGAGAAAAATGGATGGATTTAAGGGTAATTAGGATGCTAAATTTACAGAATTTGGTGCAAGCGTGACTCTAAGAAATGCAAGAGAAAAATGAATCAGGGATATCACCAAGGTTTCTAATTTAGGCATCTAGTGGTTCTTGGATACTAAGAAGCAAGAAGGAAAAGTAAGTTTGCTGGTGGTAGGGTAGAAGGAGGGCTGGACATAAGGAAGCCAGAGGAATGTACACACGAAGATGCCTGAAAGGCAGTGGGATATACGGGTCTCAAGTTCGCGGGCTGTGTTAATCTGGAGATATAAATTTGGGAATTTCCAATGTTTGCCTAGGGAGAGTGTACAAACTGCACAGAGTGAGAAGTGGTGTGCTGGACAGAACTTTGAGGACCACTCTCAGGAAGAGGTAGGAAAAAAAGATGATTCTGTAAAGTCAATTAGAGTAGATGTGGAGTAGGGCTAGGGTGGTGGCCTTCAGAAGAGGTGGCTGGGGTGAAGGGGATTTTTCTCAAAATGAGGAGATCACAGAAATGAAAGCCTGTGGCAGGAGTTCTCAAACGTAAATATGCATCAGAACCTTACTAGGAGAGATTATTTGTTCATACTGCTGGGCCCTATTCCCAGAGTTTCTGATTCAGTAAGTCTTGAGCCAGGCCTGAGAGTGTGTATTCTTAACAAGTCCCAAGGTGATGCTGATGCCACTGGTCAGGGACCACACTTTGAGAACTAGAGGGCTAGGAGTAGGCACTGGACTCGCGCTGGATGACAGCAAACCTTGGGAGAAAGGAAAGACAGTCTATGAGGTGTTAGCACTATGAATAATTAAGTGGGACAGACCAAGTTAAGGAGAGAAAATCACAGAGGACTGTGATGTAACTGAAATGTAAGTATAAACGGAAGTGGTGAAATAGTCTGAATACAGCATTTGGGACCGAGGGGAAGAATGACTTCACCTCCTGACCACAAGGTACATGGAGGGTGGGGAGCTAGCTTCAATCTGAGAGGGTTAAAGGGTACTATGTCTTCAGGGAAGAATAAGGTTTCAGTTTCAATTCAAGTTGCAAATGCGTTTAATTCAAAGTAACCAAGAAAGCATTCTTAAATCTATCAAATTGGAAATTAAAAAATAATCCATGATTGGGAAGGATTCAGTTTATTTCATACTAAGGGAAAAAAATTTTAGCATATTTCAGTTACTGGATCTTAAGATTAAACATGAAAAAATTCCATTCTCTCATTTAATTAACCTTTTAGATTCTAAAAGAAATAGGTTATTTTTAAAAGAAAGAAAATGGAAGGTAAACAAAATTACCATACAATTATTTAAGGTGAAAAATCAAGCTCCCTCTTCTCAATTCTCAAAACCCCAGCTGATATCCCTATTAAAATTCTCTTATAAATATTATCCACGTTTTCCATGCATGCACCAGTCTAGTATCCAAGGAGCAAAAATCCCAAAGAGGATAAACAAAGAGAAATACATATATATAAAATAGTCAAAACTGCCTCAGGCCAAAGTCACAGCAAATCTTGAAAGCAGTAAACAGGGGACAACACTATGATTACAGCTGCCTTATGAGAAACAATGGAGGCAAGAAGGCAGTAGTTATGACAGATTTAAAGCAAAAAAACTATTAGACAAAAGGCCAAAGAGCATATACGTTTGCAGAAATGGCCATATTGCATTACAAAAAGGTCTCAACGGTTTATATTCCCCATTGCACTACATTCTGACTTACATTAGATCCTACCAAGTTATTTTATGCTTTTATTATTTTTAACTTAGTGAGGTGGCATTCATTTGTAACATTGTAAGTTTCACTGCTAACAAATCTTTTAACCCTTATTAATCTGAAATGCAAAAATTTTTTTAAAAACTTGGAATATCTAATTGCAATTTACATTTACTTAACTAGGTATGATAACTAATATTCATGACCTTTGAAGTTTATTTTACTGCTTGTTTATCCTTTCCATGGGGTTATCTTCTTCCTACCGATTTGTAAGAGCCCTTATATTAGCCATATTTGTTTTGTGTGTTGGAAATATGTTCTCCATCTCCCCCAAATAAAATTTCATAAAACAACATCCTTCTAACTACATCTTACTGCCCAAATGCCTCCCCACTCTATACTATCTTCCGTGATATGACCAAAGTTATTCCTAAAATACAAACCTCATTACCACAGTCTTAACAACCTTCTATGACTAAACTCATCATGAACTGTCAAAACTTTCCTCATCCTCATCTCTAATAATCTGATACTTTGTGCTCCAGCTCCCACATAATACGTTAACAGACGTTCATGGCCTGTTAAAAAAATACTGGCATCCTTTCTTGAATATTACCCTCCACTCCCTCAACCCAAATTTTTACCCCTTGATTCTAATCCCTAAGAAAGTCTCCCCAAATTCTTCAGGTAGAGTAATTTGCTTCTTTCTAACTGTACTTTATACATATCTCTCTATATAAAACAAACTACGCATTTTATTTATTTATTATTATGAATCTCTTGGGGAAAGGAAATAAATCTTAAAATTTTTGTTCTCCTTTGTGCTAGTAAGTAGGCTCCCAGTAAATGTTTGTGGAATTAATGAAAAGATACAGTGACCTATACTGATGAAATGTCCTGATGAAAAAATGCAAGGAATCAAAGCATCATGGGACAAGATAAAGACAAGTGGAAGGATCCTGGTACTCTAAGACGATACATGGTTTATTTCTGCTAGCTTAAAATAATAATGGAAATAAGATTTACTGAAAGACAGAAACAGTATTAACACAGAGCTGGCAACAACAGTGAGTACGTGTTAGTAATCCACAGTAGGCCGAGATTAATAAAGTAGAAGCAGTGGCTTTATAACTGTGCTGGTTAAGTCCATTTACGGCTTCATCTGGTTAAGAAATTTGCTTATTAAAGTCCATGGCTGTTTTTACTTTTATTACCTTCAAATCCTAGTACTTAAACACAGGCATACGTTTCTATACAGGCAACTACCCAGGACTAATTATACAACTTGTTTGTGGATCATTCAGGCCCTCAATCTGTTTATTCTCCTAGACTGAAGTCAAGTGGGTAGCATGAGGTTGTGAAAACAACACTGACTCAGGAATTAAGCAACCTGGGATTTTACCCCATGTACAAGAGCTAACCACTTGTTTCTCTGAGTTCCTTTCTCCTCTTCAAAAGAGAACCTTTCAAGGTGAGTCGTTAGCCAACAGCCTCCAGTTGCACGGCTTTGCAACCTGTGGCAGTGTTCTAGCTGAGGCCACATTCCCCCTGCTTAGTTCTCAGGGAGAGACGGAGCCATGGCATGGGTCCCAGGGCCTGCCATTTCCACTCATCGAGGCAGTCCTATATCCTGGAGTTCCCCACAGGGCTGCCCGATTCTCTCAACCACTATGCAGTCTGAGTCTCTTCCCACTGCATCCCTCCTCCCCCTTCTCGCCTTTAACAGGTGTAAGAACTGCATCATGATCTGTCTACTGCTCCTCCTCTGCTTTAACCTACACAGATACTGTCCCACAATAAATTACTCCCCTTTAATTATGTCTCGGCACCTGCTTCCCTGACACGATGACATATCCTACTCTCCAATTCCAAGGTTTACTGAAATCTAGCTGTCATGCCTTGCCAAGTTTACCAGAATAGTGACTGGGAATTTAACCAGGTTACAAATGGGCTTGTGTACAACAAAGGATAGTGGATTAGAAAGTATCTTCAGACTTTAAAAATTTCACCTCCTCTGTAGTCTTGAGCAAAACTTAATCTGGTTTAACCAACTAATCAATATTCAACATGCAGAATCTATCAAAAGTACTTACATAACTGTGTTGTCATCCACTAAGATATCACAACCATGAGCAGGACACGAAATAGTCTGAAAAAGATCGAAATTTAAACTATGTCTTCATTCAACAGGTATTTACTGAATGTTTACCATTGCCAGGCACTTTGCTAGGTTCTTAACATTTACATGACCTTAACTGTTCCCTTTCTATTAAAGGAAATGTGTGTGTTTATCCCCATAAGGTAACTAAAATTCTAACACAAATAATTGTTTTTTCAATACAAAACTTGAAAGGCAAAAAGCAAGAGATATGACAAAAATTCTCAACAAGTTTAGCCAGATAAATACAAATGTTAATGCCTGCTGAGAAAACATTACCTGGATTGGATCATTAAATGAAATGCCACGTTATAAACAGAAAAAAGCCTCAATTATCTTTCAGTTGTTTTAATCTAGAAAAAAGTTCCCCATGCAATTCACAACCCAGAATGCTTCACCTGTTCATATTTTGTACAGGTCTAAACACTGTAGGAAATTCAACGAAACTCAAGAACAAGTTGGCATCTTTTACCTGTCCCATGCCTTCTTCCATTATTTTAGTAGTTAAATATTCGCTCCAGCACTGCATACAAAACTTATGTCCACATTCAAGGCCAGTGAAGTACTGTAACAAAAATGATACGTGGACTTTAAAAGATATTATCAGAAAAATTACCATAGACAGTGACTCAATAAGGCTCTATTAGGTCACGTTTCCTGTAGTGGCTAAAATGTCCAATCTGATGAGACTAGTTGGGCTCCTAAAATGAAATTCTAGGTGGTAAAATCTATACATGCAAATAAACTGAATACAAAACACCTAATTAATGAGAAATGCATCTACAGTAGATATTCATGATTTCTAGGAAAGGGAGACAAGTTTGTGCCAATAAGCATATGAAAAGATGCTGGATATCCTTAGCCATCAGGGACACGTAAATCAAAGCCACAATGAGACACCACTTCACACCCATTAGGACAGCTATAATCAAAAAGACAAGTAAGTGTTGACATGGATGTGGAGAAATTCAAACCTTCACACACTGCTGGTGGGAATGTAAAGTGGTACAGGAACTTTGGAAAACACTCTGGCAGTTTCTCAAAAACTTAAACATAGATTTATTACCGTATGAGTCAGCAACTCCACTCCTAGGTACACATATCCGAAAGAAATAAAAATATACACCCCACACAAAAGCTTGTACACAAATGTTCATAGCGGCATTACCAGAATAATCCAAAAATGGAAACAATCCAAATATCCACCAACTGACAAATAAAATGTGGAATACCATATAAGGGGGTATCATAAAAAGGCGTGAAGCACTGATACATACAATTTGGACGAACCCTGAAAACATCATGCTAAGTGAAAAAGGCCAGTCACAAGAGACCACGTATTGCTTGATTCTACTTATGTGAAAGGTCCATAATAGGCAAATTCATAGAGAAAGAAAGTAGATTCACGGTTGCCTAGGGATGGGAAGCCTAGAGGGGCAGTGGGAAGTGACCGTAAGAGGATACAGGTTTCTTTTTAGGGGTATGAAATGTTATAAAATTAACTGTGGTAATGGCTGCACAACTCTATGACTATACTAAAGGCCACTTTAAGTAGGTGAATTGTATGGTATGTAAATTATATCAGAAAAGCTGTTATAAAAAAAGTCACACTAATACAGCTTCATGGAGCTGATGGAACACAGCTAATCTAGAAAATAAAATCTTATGGAAACCAAAATATTTACTCAAATAGCAAAGACTAATAGTAACATTTTGGTCTAATCATATAATACTTATATAATTTTGAAATACTATCAATTTGAAAATGTTAAATGTAGTATACTATATTCTATGATGGGATATTAAAAGCAAGTACTTTAAATAATGTTAAGAGTCTAAAGGACTGTATTATCAAAAGACAAATAATGATTACCATATTTTAATTTAAGAATATTTTATAATAATTTACTACCAAATTATTTTAAAGTGAGTAAGTAACAGAGAATCATGGTTAAGAACAATTATTTAACAATATGAGTTTATGTTGAAAAATGTCTCCCTCATCCCCTGTTCTCTACCCAGAAGTAATCACTATTTCCAGTATCTCACATATTAACATTCTTACAAAGATGTTGTAATGTATACAGGTACACACACATGGTAAAAGTACCACAAGTTCTCTTCTGCATCTTGGCTTTCTTTATTATTACAATTATTATCTTTGTGATCATATGAATGTGTGTCAGGACAGATTTGTAAAAGTGAAATTATAATAGTATATATTTACAGTTTGATCATTACAAAGCTTTTTTGTTCAAAGAGGTTGTAGCAATCTGTATCATTCAAGAGAACCTAGATTCTCAACACCCATCTCAACACAGTATATTACCAAACTTTGATTTTTATCAACCTAACAGGTGAAAATGAACTAACTCCCATTAGTTTTTTTTCTTTTGTTTCCTTTTTTAAATTTTTTTCTTTTTTTAAAAATTATTTTATAGGTGGGGAGGTAATTTTAGGCTTCTCTGTTTAAACAGAGATACTGGGGATTGAACCCAGGACCTTGTGCTTGCTAGGCATGCACTCTACCACTGAGCTATACCCTCCCTCTCCCATTAGTTTTGATTTTAATTTTTTTATGAATGAAATTTAAACATTTGAAAAAAAGATTTAAAGCTGTAGCTTTTTGAGTGTGTGCAGTCTCTTCACCTTTTTTGCCCATTTTTCCTCTGGGTTTTTTTTCCTTAGTGATTTACTGGGGATTTTTACTTATTTAGAAAATCGGCTGTTTGTAAGTGTGGAAAATATTTTCTCTCAGTTTCAGTGTTCACATCATTTTACAGCTGTGCAGAAGCTCTGTATTTTTATGTAGCAAATGTATTAGTTTTGAAACGTATGGCTTCTTAGTTAGCTTTGATATAAGGAGTTAGGTAGGAGTCTGTTTGCAACCTAGATAGCTACCAAGTTGTTCCAACATCATTTATTAAATAATCCACCTTGTTTGAAATGACTTCTCTGTTATATACTTAATTCTCTTCATGCATACTTGACTCTATCCTGTTTCACTGCACTGCCTGTTGCTGAATTTGGTAGGACTAACTCCCTCCCCACCCCCAAGTCTGTTCTCTTTTTTATTTTTATTCTTTATTTCAAAATACTTGTCATCCATTTATCTCCCTGTTTCTTCATACAGATTTTTCATATTCCTTGCCAAGTTTACTCTTAGATCTTTTATTTATCTTGTGACTCTTATAAGTGATATTTCAAATTCTGTAACATTTTCTAATTAGCTGTCATTTAAAATAGCTAATTTCTGATGTCACTTATGATATTAGACGCAAATAGTCAGATTACTGTATTACAACATTATCAACTATTTTTAAAATGCCTGAAGAGTAGCCATGGAAGAAAATGTATCATTTCTAAGACTGGTTTTACAGACTAAATGACATGAAAAATACCAAGTTTAAAATGCAGTGCTATTCAGAGATTGACAATGGTTCTAACTCATTCACAAAATGAGTGAAATTAAATAACTAGAAAATCAACATTCTTTTTTTCTTTTTTTTTCGCCCAGGACCTCCTGGCATGCTAAGCGTGCACTCTACCACTGAACTATGCCCCAAACCCCTGGAAATCAATGTTCTTGTCCGTTAAAAAAAAAAAAAAGATCTGGGGGAACAAATGAAAGAATCTACTCGTTATCTCCCAGCAGTGACAAAAGAGATCTGGCACTAACCTACTGCCAGATTACTAATGGAGAGTATTTGATTTTCACGGCCTTAATGAGAAGGAGCATTCTGCAAAGGACAAATATAGTAGAGGAATATACCAGCAATTCTAAAATGTTTTATTCATAACTTAAAAACACATACACATCCTAATGTGCTTTATTATTTTTTCAAATAAGAATCCTTAAGACTGAGAGAGTAAAGGTCACAATAGTCACTAAGTGATCACATCTCTATTTGGCCAGCGCTCCACTGTAAGATAAAAAGACAAAAACAAAGCTTTTTTTTCCTTCTAATAACTTTTCTATTTAAACAGGTAACAAGACTAAACAAGATAAATTAGGTAAATTACACACGCATGTCCAAAGATAAAGCAACACTAAACCATAGCACACACATATTCACTGTGCTCAAGAATTCTGTCATCATGGATGTGTCAGGGTATTTTTCCTGCCTGTCTTATTTCCCTCTCCTCCGTCCTCCTAACATCTTTGTCCCCTTACTGGCTTGTGCTGCCCTGCTTGGCTCCTGGGCCTTTCCGTGACTCTGAGGATCGTATTATTCATCACATTTATCCCTGTTTATATCATAAATATATCTGACCAAGAGTACACTAAAAATATACAAAATACTACCTACAACAGAAATCAATGGTCTTGAAGAAAAAGAACTGAAAGGGCAATACACACTCTCAAAGGTTTCATTTATCTGCGCCATTTCACACACATAGGAACTAATGTCAAACAGCAGTAAAAACAGTAAGAATTATCTGTCCTCCAACAGAAGCTGCCCAAATAATCTCTAAAGTTGAAGCCATTTTGTTTATAAAACTGAGGAAATAATAATCATGGCACTAGTTCCCTCACCTGTAAAATGGAATGAGTTAATAAAAAGGAAGACAGGGTAGGACTTAGATCAGATGTTTTCAGTGTTCCCAGGAGCACAAAGACTCAAGGTGCCCCCGGGGAGGGGAATCAGAGGGTGGACTACCCTCACGATCTTCATCTTTGCCTCTGTCTACGTAACATACCTCATTCTTAGAAAATAGACTTATTTCATAAAAATGAGACAGGGTAGCCCAAGTTATATCTCCTAGTAGAATGAGAGTTTAGTACAGCTAGATGGAATGCTTTGTTTCAAACGAACATTATAAGAAAGTGAGTAACTGTTGCCAGGGCTAAGAAACCCATGAACTGGTCACAAGGAGGTGAGGGTGGTGGCATGGGGGAGGAATATGTGAATTTAAACAGTGTTCCAAAGATTCAGGAAATTGTTTTTAAAGAATCGACCACTCAAAACCATTAACTCCAAAATATTATAATTGAAGATATCAGAAGCATTTATTTAAAAACTTGTTTTCATGTCGCACTGTATAAGACAAGCTGCTTAATAAAAGGATAACAGTATCAAAGATACACAATCATGAAAGGCAAGTATCAGTGTTGGAAGAGAATAGTGGAAATCCAAACATGGGAGTTATACAAGGTAAGTAAAGAAATCATTCATTCAGTTAACAAAGTTTCAATGAAGAATCTAAAGTGCCATTTACTGGCAAAACTGTAAGGTTAAAATTCTTCTTCTTTATTAGTCTAAACAACTATGAGAAAAGAAGTCCAAGTTTAGTGATTAATTTTTCCTAATGTTTGACACAGTTCCCATAACACTAACTTTCTTTCCAACCCACACTGCTGTTGGCTTTCTTTCCTGTCACTTTCATAGCCAAACTTCCTTTAAAAGAGTAATTTGTTTACATTTATTGCCTCCACTTCATTTCCCACCTTCAAGTCAATGATCCCAGCCAGTTTGGTTTCCCATTTTATTTCCAAGATCATCAGTAAATTTCTTGTTAATTCCAAACTCGCTTTCCAATTCTTTTCCCTGAAGCTAGCACTGTTTCCCATTTTTGAAGCTGCATTTTCTTCCTTTGGCTTCTGTAATGCTACATTTTCCTGATTCACCTGACTACCACACCTTCAGAGGTTAATTAAAGTGTAAATTTCTGTGAGAAGTCCTCTCTGATCCAAAACTGGGTTAGATGTCTCTCCAACATTTTCCCACAGTATCATGGCCTTTATCAAAACACTTATCATTTTTTTTCTGAATATTTCACTTTACTTATCTGCCCAGCTAATCTGTAAATTATCTAAGGCAGACATTATGCCTTTATTCTCCTTGTTTGTAACATTTAGAATAGTTCCTGGTGTGTTGAATGAACGAATGAATGAACAGTAGGTTCTCCATTATCAGTTACAAACTGCAAGCACTCGAATTACATTTAAGATGATTTAAACTGAGGAGGAGCTGCTTATAATAAAGCAGGAGAAGGAATGCCTAAGAATAAGGTTAACTTGCATAATTTGAGATTAATTATTTGAGTCTTAGTATTCCCTCACAGAAACATTTATAAACTGTAAATACTACACAAATGTCAATGGCAAAGAGAATCTGTTAAAGAAAGATAATAAAATAGTCAAAACATGAAATAAATATATTTTTAATAGAAGTGCAGATTGTCCTTCTTAAATACTTAAGTTACGGTTGTGATTTAAGGAGAGGGAAATGGTACAATTCTCAGGCTGATAGAGATTTGAAAGAGTATCTTCTTCAACTCATCTGAAAGATTAAAAAAACTGAGATCCAGTGAGATTACATGATTTACTATCCAGAACCAAGCAGGTAGTTTTAGAACTGTGATCAAAATTTGAGAATCTGGAAACTCAATTCAGCATTTTACTTACTAACTAAATTATTTTAACTCTGATTCTCCATTTCTCTAAGAGAATGTAACTAACTTTCTTTTAACACTTCTCTTCTAAGGACTTGCACATGTGAACAAATTAGTTCCCTTCAAATGAGTTTAGAGGTAAACATGTTAAACTCTAAGATAAACAGTGAAAAACCTTCAGTATGTTAAAATATATAATACTGGCGACAAAGACCTGGTATATAGTAATTACCAGAAAAAGCTGCTTAACTATTAAAGCAGAGAATATAACAAGACAGCAATAATGGTAGAATTAAATTATTTCTTAGATATCTTGAAGCACCTTAAGAGGCGAATTGCAAGTAACTAAAGACATTTCTGCCACAAATATAATTTTCCCATAGTTACTAATAAAGTGCCTTCAGGGGAAGATGTTTATTTACGCCTAAAATTTCTTTACTAGACATGTCAAAGTAAATCACCTAAATTCAACAGGTTTTCAGAGGGATACTTGTACTTAAGAATTTCTGTTAGAATGAATCTGTAAATGTGAAAATCTTTTGTTACGAAGCATCCTGAAAGCTCCCTAGTGAAATAGTTACGGCTTTAAAAAGCAAACGAGGGAGGAGTGAGAGAGAACAAGCTCTTACTCCTTTTCTTTCCTTCTCCTTAATATATTGACTGGTTACTTTCTTTCTACAATCCTAGACTCCCAGATCTTCCTTTGTTTAAATAATGAAAAGTTGATTTACCCTCTGAAATAGTCAGTTCTAGCCTTAAACTACCAGATACTCACCGAGTTAGGGTAGTTCAAGTAGCAGATCTGACAAGGCATATCCTGTGCTGATGACCTTGTATTCATCTGGCGTGTTCGAGACTTTTTACTTGGATTAATTACATGACACTCAGCAAAGAGCTTCTCCAGGTTTCCATCAAAGTACCTGCATTATTTAAACAGAAAGGATGAGAGCCCAGCAATAGCACACTCTTAGAGCTCTCCAAAAGCCTGATTTTCCATAGGGAAAAGCAATGAAGTGAATTAAACCAAGATCATAACCTTTTTTGCTCAGAGGAAATGAATTGTATGGCTACAAACTGTAGCAAATAGGAGTATACATGTACAAAGAGAGATTGAATTTCTGTTGCTATTTTGATACTTCTTACTTTGTTTTTAATCCTGTAAAGTTAAGCTATTAGTAATATTAACAGTACTATAACCAAAACCTAAGGATGAAACCTGTACTATCTTTAGTGATACCTTATGAAGAGTAATGGTATATTAAAAGGCTAGACTACATTTTATACAAATGAATTCATTTTATTAATAATTTTAGTTATACCAGTTTAAATATATTAGCAACTAAATCACCTACAAAGCATATCTTATCCCACAAGTCATTTTAAAAATGAAACGATTACATGTGTCTCATTTTACAAAAGACTCGCTTTCCAAATACTCTGTTGAAATACTTTTTAATTTACCAGGAAAGGGAAGAAAGATGAAACAAAAGTGTATCTTGAAAAGCTTTTATATCAAATAGTCCATATATTAACTTTTTCATAAAATGTGTATCTAAATATACAGAACTAGTTCACTATCTAAAATATCACCAGCATGGTATGGCAACTTCTATCCACAGAGTTTCAACTGAAGTATAAACTTTTTGACAAAGATAGAGGTAAACACTTAGCACAATATTTCCCACTAATCCAGTTAAGACATAGTCTTTGACCTCCCAAAATATCTTAATATTCTAAAGAGAAAAACAATAGATTAAAAAAAACTTTCAATTTTTGCATCACTATAATCAGCAAAAAATATTAATGTGGAATCTGGTCTATGTACTTTTTAGCTTGTAAAGTTCAGATTTAAATAACTACAATGTTCTTTATATATGAACAGGAGGTTCTCAAGTTAAAAAATAACTGATACTCAAAAGAGATTTCCAATATCTGTAATGAAGGTCTTGTTCAGGCTTTGTGTCATTTATGGTATCTCCAGAAAAATCACTCAAATGAGAACAAACCACATCATTCTCCTAAAACAAATAAATATCTTTTTATAAATGCTTTTACTACAATAATGTTTCAATGAAATGATCAAATTATCAATCAAAACGTCAACACATTATAAAAGGGGGGTTCATATGAAGTTGTCCCTGATGATTCAGCTTATCAAATAAATAGAGCAGAAAAATCAAATGCTTTTCTACAAATGTTATCTCTGAAAAAACCTAAGGTGCAAGTTTTATCTAAAAAGTAGAAAGTGTATATAAAACTAACACTAAATATGAATACATAAACCAATTAAAAAACCTTGTTTTTATAAAAAATACTCATGCTTACAAGAAAAAACAAACTCTTGTCACCTAAAACTTGATTACACGAAATTAGCAAATCTTAATACTTTGGTGAACATTCTATTCAACATTCTATGCAAACACAGCCAAACAGACATGTGCTTACTTCATACAAATAATTTCACACTCCAGGCTTATTACCTGCTTTCTTCACTGAACAATATGTAACAACATCTCTGCCAATGAGCATGGGTCTACATTATTTCTACTGTTGCATAGTATTCCACTGTAGGTATATAGCATAATTCACTTAAATAACCTGATACTGTAAGACACAGATGTTCTGCATACAAACAATCCTAGATTAAAATCTTGGCCTACGTGATGAGAGAAAAACACCTAGACTTCAGTTGCATTTCTTATTAATCAAGCTGCAAGTATTTTTCTGTGAAGGCCTTGCTATTATTTTACAAGTTCAGAATGGAAACAGGAAGATTAACCCTTTGTCTTTCAGACTGCTTTCTTCCCCCAGCTTTCCAATCTTATTTAATGGTGTTTAACTGCCACTTTTAATTTTTATGTAGGCAGACTTACTATGCAACCCTGTTGTGATTTATGGATTTCATATCAAGAAAAGATCTCTATTCAAATTCACTCATGATTTAGGTCTTTACACTGTTTCCATTAAAACTACTGATTCACATGTAAATTAGTTTTACATAGGAAGGAGGAAAACAGGGATTCCATTCCATTTTAAGCTGAATGGCTAACCATTTACTGAACTACCTGAAACACTTCTTCCCACCTTGAGGTCTCACCTCAAACCTCATTTCCTCAATTGTCTTCTTTGACAGTTTCTCCCACTCAAATTAGGTAAGATTTCCTTGTATTACATTCTCACAGTACTTTGTACTCCCGCACAACACATCACATTACTAACTCTGTAATCATTATTTTATGTTTTCTCTGCTAAAATGTAAACCTCATGAAGACTATTTTATTTCCACAGCAGCCCTAGTACCTAGAAGAATCTTCTAAGCATTCAATTTCTTTTTAAAGAATAATCGACAAAGAGTAACTTCTTAATGATAATTGACAGTGATAAATCTGAATTTCTTTAGTTTATTTAGGAATATTTCTTAAAGACAGCAATATACTGGAGTTTACAGTTTTTAGTTCATTCTAGAAACCAAAGAACTTTCAAATACAGACCAGGAGAACAGAATGGAGAGTTTAAGAATCCACTCATATTGCTGGGCAGAGCAAGCATAGGAATCTTTTTCATTTATTAAATTCCATTTTAAAAGAAATACAACATTTAAAATTTTGTTTTTGATTTTATTTATTACATGGTCTGTTCACCAATGACTCTTATATGGTTATCTGGAAGACAGTGAAGTCAATTTATTTTTACTAAACATAAATTAAACTTAGTACTTAAACTGTACTTATTTTGCCAACTTTAAATAATACATTGTCTTTATATGATCCTACATTTAACTCTATAGCTTTGGCTGGAACTTCCTAGAGCTTTTCCCAGTTGATTATCATTTTATATATTTTTTTTCACAAATGACACTGTTTTTACATTATTTAGATTTCTTTTCAAGAACAGCAAAAACTGCTTTCTATTTCCTAAGATTGATAACCCTAATTACTTAGACATAATTAAAATGTTTAAATGTATTCAAATGCTCCTTTGGCCAAAAATCTACCCACTCGACCCCAAATATTCTCAATACTGACACCATTCATTTTCTTCCAGTATCCGTTGTTACTGAAGTCTGCAGTCAAAGTAATTCACATTTTATGATTCACATCATTTTTAACTAAAATAATTATAATGTTTCTTCATTTTTGAAGTTTATTTCTATAGGGTTTGAGCATTTAACTTTCTCTTTTGAAATGCCATTTAGGTAGTGATTACTTTAAAATCTTCTTAGTTATTAAGACCTGCTTGATTTGCACTTAGTCTTTGTCCATTTGTCCTCCATGTCTACCATCTGGTAACTCCTCCTTTGTCCTTTTCCTCTCTTATACCTCTCTGTTTTCCATAGTATCTGCTCTATTTATAGCTGTTGCCAATGTGGTTTTAAGTTCTAAGGGATTTTTCTTAGTTCTGTCAGCTTCCTTTTCGTATCATTCTGTTGTTTTATCAGTTCATCTCTGAAACCTTATCTCATAGAGTCTATGTTTAATGTTCTTAAAAGAATAATGAAGGGTTTTTTCCCCCTGCCAATTACGACAGTTTTATTATGGACTATTATGCTCAAGAATACAGGTGGATTCTTAACTCCCTATACTTTGTATACCTGGTCACTACATATTAGAAAGTTCCTTCAGTTTGCTGGCTTTTATGTACCTCCTTGCCTGTGAAAAACAGACCAAAATGTGGTCCATATTCTCTGGCTTGATGATCATTATTTCCGTTTATTAAGTTCTTCTACCCTGAAACCCCTGAAACTTCAACAACCATACACTATCCAAAATACTCTAATTTATTTAGCCATGTTCATGCCCTTCTGCTGAGGAGAAAGAAGTGCCAAAGCTTTTACTACTTTCTCAAAAGACACCATAGCCCCCCAAATGACAAAAACCAGTAATATTTTTTAAAACTACGTTTTACTTCAAAGAAAACAAAGACAGTGGCTTCTGTGCCCTCTGTCCAAATATGTGCATGCAGGGAAGTCCACACCCTGAGCTCTGCTCAACTGTCTTTTCCTCCTGCTACATATGAGCAGCACAACTCAGTGACTGAGATGAAATAAACTACTTGTGACCTATGCAACAGTGGGTCTGATTTCAACTGAAGAGAAAAAATGGTTTCTTCTAGTACATGAAAAGAAATACCCTTCTATTATTTTGATAATATCAATATAGTTTCAATACATTTAATGGACCTTGTCAGGTTGTTAATGTTGAAAATCTCAAAAGTATGCTGAAAATCTTGCTATGCTAAAACTAAGAACAAGCAATCAAAATATGAGACAGTATATAATTCAGATCACTTTTACATATAACTCTGTTGCAGATGAACCAACTATATGTGGGGACTGTGCCAGTTAGTGCCAATGTTAATCAACTGCTTTGAAGGAAAGAGATGGACGGCTATCTGCAATATGACATACTAAGTATGCAAGAGGTAGGAGGAGAATGCCAGGGAAGTATTCAAAATAGCGACCATATTTCGAGAAGTCAAAAGGACTTCATAGTAAATGTGGTAAGATTCAGGGAACAAGGAGATCCAGGGCGCATCATACAAGATGCAGAGAATTGTACATGATGTCAATGAGCACAACTCTAGAATGAAATATGACTGACGCTCTATGAACTGTGCAAAGCTACAGGTTTTGAGAAAATTGGGGCCTGAACAGTCAAGAGCATTCCAATGGAGTGTAGAGTACAGACAAGCAGAATGGAATGAAAGTAAGGAAGGTGTTTGAAAGTCAGATAATATAACTTTGTTAAGTAGGAACCACCACAAAGGTAGCAGAAGTTGGTAAAGTAAGCTGACATGATGGAAGTACAGGACAGATACGAGACTGGAGCCCAGGAAGGCGGTGAGGAAACTATCTGCAAAAAGGTTAGATTCACCTGCAGGTACTAAAGGCACTACTATTCCTACATGCCAGACAAACAAG